TCACTTACCCTACGCATCGCGCGCTAAGGAGGTCACCACTTCACTTCCGATTTTTACTTTCGTTTTTGTGTAATAAATTGTATTAATTTATTCCAAGTTTTCTCTCTTATTTAATTCGGGTTTTAAGCTGAGCAATCAGTGCAAATGTGAATCACACGAACTGTTGAAAGCAAGGTGGAGGAAACCAAGGGTGTCGCTACCGCGTTGGGTGACGTCAAAAACCATTCTTTTCAAGGGTCGAAAGCTCAGGTAATATTGAATGCAGAAAGTTGCTGTTTGGACGGATCTGATTATTTCTAGCTGATATACAAGAATCAAGCATCAAAATACGATTCTGGAACCAGCGCAACTGAACCATTGGGTTTTGGGGGCGAGTGGAAGAAAATATAAATTAAATAAAATGACTTGAGTAAAAATAAGTTGTTTCAGTTAACCTATCTAATACAATTTAACATTACATCATTGCGTAGTATGAAAACTTATACATGGGTCGTTTTTTAACGTAAATCAGAAAATAAGGTATTGTGGAAATCATGAAATGCTTTAAATATTATGGTTAGTGAATGGAGAGTGTTCATGATACTTTTTTTTCACTTTCATCGAATTGGATACAAATTGACAGATGCTAATTCATGAAAAGCACCATTAAAAACTCTAACAGTCATAGCCATTGATATGATGGTAAATGATAAAATGCTGCAAGTATTTATAATAAGTGAAGGACGAGTGTTCACTACGATTTTTTACTCACTACTATCGATTTCGAGAAAAAGGCAGATGATGAAATGCTGTAAATATTATAATTAGGGAATGGTGAGTGTTCACTGTGATTTTTCGGTTATTTTTATCGATCTGGATATGATTTGACAGCTGATAACTGGAGAAAGCTGTTAAATGTGTACTTTAGGAGGCCTTTTTGGGTTCTTTTGTCTCCTGTTGCCAGGCTGACCCCAAACCTATCCTCTCGAGATGCGGACACAGCAAAAACGAAGCCAGCGTGACAGCCCTGTCCCCTGCCGCGAGTAGGTTTTATGGGCGTTTGAGTTTAGCAGAGATTCCTTCTTGGCTCGGAAGGTTAGGGTTGACAAAAATCCTGCCGCAGATCATCAGTAAGCAAGAGCGTGTCACCGATGCGTCTCTACTCTCAGCTCTAGTGGAGAAAGAAAGAACTTTATTTGCCTTATAAACTGGTAAATTCGCCTTACTAATCCGTCATCCGGCGTAGCCTCATGGATGAGCGCTCGCCTCGGAATCAGTAGGTCCGCGGTTCGCACCCCGAGCGGCAGTAAATTTTATTGCCTTGGTCATATTTATAAATGCCGCGTAGGGCATCGAAGGGTTATTTTTTCCAAAAAATAATAGTGAGGGTTGCATTTTGATCGAAACGTAATTGAAAAGGGCCCCTCTTGCTTCAAAGAAACTTCTGGATCCAAGGTCCAGGGTCCTTGTATAAGGGTATACAGGGGCCGTCCAATAAACTTGTTTTTTCTTGGAGGAAAAAGCAGACGCCAGACAGAAATTAATGTAACATAGTGCTCAGTTAACATCCTTTAGTATAAATTACGTAAGACCTTTTCCCCATTTTTAGACCCCCATACTTTCTCCTTGTGCAGCACCGTAAGGCATCCCTTAACCCCCCCCCCCTCTAAAAATTACGTAAGGCTCGACTGACCCCCCCCCTTTTTTTTCAGTTATCGTAGATCGAAGCATGACGTTTCCCGTTAGAAAAAAATGAAATTTTTAAGCCACAATTTGTTTAAGTGAAACTAAATTTCTGGAATAAGTTCACAGGAAAGATTCATGATATAATTAGTTTAATAAACAAAAATATGAAGCAAAATTAAAGATTTTTTTGGCCTTGGGAGTAAATAGTTAAAAGTATAAGTAAAGTTGACGTAAGGATGAAGTCACTACTCATCATCGAGAGAATGAGTGCAGAAATGGGAATCAAGAGAAATGATAGGGCATGGTTCGATCGGCCAGCAATCGGTGGTTTCCTGATTTCCTCTATTTCATCTTGAATTTTATTATTAACCTGACAAAAAATGGATTTTTGCATTTTCTTGAAATATAGGCTAAAAAGTTGACGTAAGGCTCAGCCGTGCCCTCTCCTCCCCCCTCGTAAGGCACCGAAAGGCTGTTATAGATCCTCCCCTCCCCATGAGAGCCTTAAGTAATTTATGGACGGCCCCTTATTTGTATTTTTTGTATTCCTTATGGTCTTTATTAATTAAAATTCCTAATCATATAGATAATAGAAGAGAAATCACGCAGATTATCCTTTAAAAAAAAAGGGGCGATTAATTTGGTTTGAATTAAAAAGATTCCTGCTTGGCCCGAAAGGCGAGGGTTGACAAAAATCCTGCGGCGCGTGGGGAGTGCAGTGAGTCTGCAGAAAGGAAACATCAGTGCTCCCGATTGCGCACCAGACAGTTTACGATGGAAATTCGGCAGGATTTTTGTCAACCCTACCTTCCGAGCTCAAGGAAGGAATCTCTGCTGAACAGTCGACTCGGTTTTATGGCCCTGAGTGAACGCTCACTCTTGTGTGTGTGTGTTCCTGAACGTGCATCATATTGCAACTTCCCCCCTTTGTTACCCTACACTCCAGCAGACACAGAAGATGCTAAGACCATGGAATAAACAAAAAGGGGATGACATTTACGACACTAAAGGCGCCGCGCTGCCTGCGATCTCCAGAGAAACGGTCTCGGGATAATCGGAGCGCGAGGAACAGATCAGTTTCAATTGACACGTCACTTAAACGATATTAAATTCCTACCGGATAAAATGATAGAAAAAAAAAAAAACAAAACAAACAAAAAAACCAACAATTTCACATGATAGGGTGTAGCATCACACCACCTATCCAAAAATGCACGACATAGAATTGCAATCGCTCACTGGAGGCAGCAATAAATTAAAGAAGAACTATTAAATTCCTTACCGGATAAAATGATAGAAAAAAAAAAAAAACAAAACAAACAAAAAAAAAAACCAACAATTTCACATGATAGGGTGTAGCATCACACCACCTATCCAAAAATGCACGACATAGAATTGCAATCGCTCACTGGAGGCAGCAATAAATTAAAGAAGAACACACCACAATGGGTGCGCGTACCGCTAGAGCCGCTAAAACGCGCAATTTGGCATGGGGAGAAGAAACTAATTCCTCTGTGCTAGTGTTTCATTTCAATACGATTTGCAACTCCGGTGTGACAAGTTACACGGACTTCAAAAATTCCGTGATTTTTTAAGGTTTTTAACCATACAATTCTGTGAATTTTCAAGCTTACATTTTCTTGTAATGGAATAACATCAAAATTCCCGTCATTAGTCATTTAAAGTGTAAGTCTCATGAAATTAAAGAATACTTCGGACGGTGTGGTTGGGCCTACTCGCCTTGGCCAAGGGTCTTTGCAATGCAGAGAAAAAATAAAATGAATTGATTCATTTAGTAGATTTTTTGGTCCGATTTCAGCATTTGCATTACATCCACACTGCATAACAGCACTTAATTAGATAATTTTATCTCCGAACAGGTGAAATGAATAAAATATTCAGGAGAACGACGGTACCTCTGAATAGAGGTGAAAACACATGATTATAAACGTTAAAGATAAAGGTTTCCACTTACCCTCGACAAAAGTATGAAAAAAGCAAGTCCAAATGCTGCAATTAGAATAGAAAATACTAACAGTACTTTGATTAAGGTTTGAAGAATTTCTAGGAACATTACTACGTAGATTCCAACTTGGTCGAACCTACAACAAAGAGTGATTTCCTTTGAGCAAAAAATATTAGGCCTTTGAGAATGAATTCAAGGAAAAATAACTCTTGTGTTGCCTATAGTTTTGCAGAGCTTTGATTTGGTGCGAAATCTTGATTGCATTTTAAGTTTTCTTTGTCAGCGGTGAGAATACAATTTAATTAATAAGTCCACTGCGAGGGTCATTAAATACTCTCGCAGTGGACTTAAAAAGTTGTGTTTTTCATTTACTCACTCGTTTTCTAAAGGACCCTCAAACATGGAACATTGGTCAGAAAATTTGATGTTATGCTCCTGAACCTTCTCTCATACTCTAAAGTTACACCTATTAAGGCTACAGCCTTCATTTCATTTGTAGATGCTTCGAAGGATTCATTCACTGATTTAACACTAAAGATAAATTGTCCTGATGCCAAGCTTAGTGCAGTAGACAACTTTACATGAAATTTATGATAGACTAAAAGAATTCATAAGCCTGAAATTCTTTAGCACCAATTATCGAGAAACTTATGTAGATCTTCCCGAGAACAATTGAAATTAGTACACGGCGACCAATCGTCTGCCATCCTTCGCACATGTCCATACTAGACCAACGCCTTGGACCTGATATCGTTTAACTTAAAATTCAATAAACGAAGTAATCCTGTCACTTCTGTTTCCGAACTCTCGTCATTTAGCAATCCTCTCAATTCGGAACTTTTCAACTTGGCCAAACCGTGGGAAAAATACCTTTCACCTGAAAGGAACTTCCGAAAGGTAACACTTTGAGGGTTTCGACGAAATAAAAAATAAGGTGTACCCTAGCGCCAAAGATGGTCAAATGAAAGGATCCGAAGATGATATGAACAAATTCAGTAAAGAATATTTAAATTAGTTTGCGAACCTCTGCAAGTTGAGTAAAAGTAGGAACCAGCTGAGGAAAACTGTGATTGCCGCGCAAGCTATTTGAAGCTCGGAAAGTTTACCGGTGATGAGTGGCGCCACCATGAGCACGGCTGTGGCGTAGAGAAGCAGCGTGACCAGGTTGGTCGGATCAAAAAGGTAGTGCCACTTCTGTTGGTAGAACTGGAGACCCTCCCGCAGCAGGTTTAGCCCGATGTACAATAGAATGGCGACGCTACTTAAACACATACCGGGCTTGCTCTGCACGGCTAAGCTCGGTTCAAACTGTGGGAAAATAAATAGCTACATTACAAATGCTCGATTTTTTTTTTTTTTAAATTAAAGGAAGGTTATCGATACGGGCCGTTTTCTTAGTGTGTCTGATTAATTTTCAAGGATTCGAAAATAAATCCTATAAAGCCAGATTCCTAACGATACTGGCCTTTCTTGGCTCTTTCATCAAGTAAACCAAATATTTTTAACAATTGAGGGGCTCGGAGGACAGTTTTGTTCGTACATTGTATAATAAATAAATTACATGGATCCTCATGGCGGAAAGAAAGTTCAAACTGAATTTTTCATGCTTACGAATTGGAATTTGGGAGCGAATTTTGCACAGAATATGCATTAAGATAAGCTTTACTTGAAATCATTAAATACCTCAATTTTTTTTCAAAAACTGCACTGATGCGCAGGGCCGGATTTACCTACTTGCCGCCCATGGGCCGCCTGTATTTTTCTGCCCCCTTCTCATTCGTTAAGTGAACGTGCCGGTGGGAGAGGGATGTATGACGGTATGAGACGCGTTTACTCGTGTTGAGCATATTTTTGTGAAAGCCCCGTCAACACTAACAAATGTTCACGGAATTTTAAGCGAAAGTTAAGTTGCGCAAACCCATCCCTGTTTGGACAAGGCCTTCGATTTATAACAAACGAACGAAAAAATTATAAAAGAACAAACATAAATGTGGTTTAATAATTTTAACTTCCGTTGCTGCGCCGACCGCACTGTGTTTGCGCAATGCGTGAAGTATTCATGCAGTCTTGTAGGCGCTATGCGTTTCTCGCCGACCGCTGCTGGCCGCAATGTTTGACGCAATACGTGAAGTATTCATCCAGTCTTGTAGGCGCTATGCGTTTCATGCCGACCACCGCGCCGCGCCGAGGGCTTCTCCTTTTCATCTCAGTCCTCGTCATCATTGAATGCTGCGCCGCTCCGCTCAAGGTTAAATTGCGTGTCTGGTTTCTCTCTTAACTCGACTATTTCAAGGTGTTGTCTCTTGTATCACCGAAAGACGACGAAAATAGAAATTACTATACTTAAACTCTCAGGAAATGAGAGATTTTATCGCCTTTTCTCGTTCGTTATTTGTTTTCTGGATCCGATTTTACCTTTTTCTTTTTGATAGCTACATTAAAAGAGATTGCAAAATTTGCCGCCTTAAGCCGCGGCCCACGTGGCCACCCCCTTAATTCGGCCCTGCTTATGCGTCTTGTCCTCCAAGCCCTTTAATTATTATAATTTTTCCCCTCCGGCAAAATTGTTCCGACGTGAGCGCCATCTACGCTTCGACGCTGTATTACGAGATATGTATCTCAAGATAGCTTAGATTTATTCCTCAATATTTGGATATCTAGATTACGAATTAAATTTTGAGAAAATCAATTATGATTCTGTGCATTACAATTCCGGGAAAAATTTGACAAATCTGAGAAGTTGCCAACCATAATGCCTTGGCACAAATGAAGTTTCTGGTACCTTGGATAGGAAGTGAAGATGTGATGGAAAGCTTTCCAATGACATACAAGATCACTAAATGTTGTAGTCCTGAAATAATTTTCCTGTCTTGTCAAATAGATCACGACTAATAATTTGGATGAATGTGACCTAAATCGGCGGGAATACATCACGTTACTCTATTCCCTTCTAAGTTTCAGTAAACAGAGAATAAGCAGCATTAAGCCTCGTAATTTTCACAAAATTAAGCTTTAAGGGTTAAAAATAATTTCGGAAAATTTCGCGGGGATTTTTTTGTAATTAAAAGAAACAACAAAGATAAAACTTATATTATCCGAGCGCTTTCTTTTTAATACTTTGACGAAGAATGTCGCGTCTGGTTTCTACGAAATCGACTGATATATCAATACAGCATAAAGCTTAAGATTTCGGTCTACCAGTGGGTGCCGGTAGTAAATTTTAAATCTATATGACACTAACTGCCCTTAAATAAAACTTCCCGAACTCTCTTCACGATAGAGAATATCACTTTTGAGGATCACAAAACTAAATTATGTTTAAATATTTCGTACTTTAGACGTTGAGGTAGAGTTGAATGAGTCCCCGTCATTTTCCATTAGTCCGGACGAGAAATGCGTTATAAAAACTAGAAATATAGTGTACAAAAGAAGATGTGTTAGATGGAAATATTTCCCATAGGAGTTCCACTTCATCTGCAGATACTTCTGACTGAGTGGGTGTGCTAATAGCTCTACTCTGCCATGCTCGACCATCGCCTGAAATGAGAGTCAATATTAGACAAAGCGTTCAGAGCGAAAATTATATTTTCTATAGTTATTTCAGTTCCGCTTCGCGCGCCGTCAGGGAACGAACACGCTCTCGCCGTGGGTTTTTTCCGTGGATCTCGTGATTCGTCTTTGCGTTTTTTTTTCGTGATTCGTTTCTTGCGTTTTGTCTTGCGATTATTAGTTTGTATTTTCTGTTCGGATTTTTGATGGTTCTTTTGGTTTTTGGATCGTGGAGTGTAATAGTTGAGTGAGTGTTGAACGTGAGGTGTGAAGTGTGTGGCTGGACAAAGGAACGAACGTTTAAACTGAGGATATATCAAAACAATAACTGGGGTGATGGGAGATTGTTGAGTGAAGTTGACAGAGAGTATATATGAATGGTGAATGTACGCTATGTGAAGTCGGAACGGGATTAGCCTTCCAAGCTACTTAAAAAAAAAAAAAAAAAAAAAAAAAAAAAAAAGCTACTCTTACATCTCTGCGAAGTTCAAAAAACGCCAATGCGCGTGAGCTCTTGTAATAGAATTAACGTGGATCGCCGAACTCAGTAAAAAGTTTACTACTTGACAACGATAAATTCATCACCGACTGATAAATCTGTTGTCGTAAAAATTTTGCTGCAAATTGTGAAAATAGCTTACGAGTTGGAACTAGAGTATATTCCTTCGAAACGTGATGATCCTTAGTACATGATCTCTGGGAGGATAGGGGGCGATGGCGATTGGGCGTCGCAGAGCGCGAGGCTGCGCTATAAAAGCGGCTTTATGTATGTAATACTTGAAAGAAAAGTAGCTTTGTGAAAGTAATAGCTTTTTAAAGAGATAATGAAGAGAAGCCTAAGCACATAGTGCCTTAATTCAAATCTTTTCTAATTGTGGGAAATAAGATAGTTGAAGCAGCAGCGACTGGATGCAATCGAAAACAGAAATTTGCTGGACGGCGGCATGAGAGGAACACACAATGATGGCTATATATTAATTAATTTGTCTCGTTTTAGCTTACTTACATTCAGAGCGGGTAGAGGAATCGGTTTGGAGATTGTCAGCGCTTCCCCGGTTTTTTGATCTACCTGCGCGTACATGCGCGAACTTTCAAGGCAGGAAAAATTGTACTTAATCTGTTAGAAAATGACAACAACGGTCGAAAATTAGTCAAACATAAGTAACATTTTATCATCGTCAGTCGTGCAAATATACATATGATAGTAGAATTAAACCATTGACTTTCATCTCCCTCGTCGTCAGATCAGATTTCCAATTTCGGCTATCCAGTTGGTAAATGCTGTGCCCTGAGGAACTAAGGAACATCTCCGCGACGAAGATATAGCTCCCTTATTCAGGTCGATACGGAATTATTTGCTAGCTACGGCATTTTACGACCTATCGCATTTTCGTTAGGTGAAGAATAGTTTTGTAATGTAGACACTTGTCATGATGCTATTGTACTTGTTTCATTGTAACTAATATTATGGGATAAGGGGATCTCTTTGACACGTGCCACGGCCCCAATAATGAGTCGCTTTCAACAACCACTGACAAAATGCACATATTTGGAACTAAAAACATTACAATTGTGAGTACTCACATAAAAACATTTGGAGTCTTTCTTGCAATTTGCTTTCGTGATACATTTATCTTGCACTGACTCGAAAACTCGAGGCATTGATGCTATGAGAGCCAGCGTAACGCAGGGATGCTTATCCGACCTTAATGCCATAACCTCTGCCCCTCTGGAGGACAAAAAAACCATCTGAAATTTAATCCATCGTTTGTGAGAGCAACACAGCATCCATTAAAAATCACCAATTTACACTAAAGCTGCATGCATGCACAGAAATTCTTAACGCGAAGAAATATTGTTATGGGCTATCTACTTTACGTGCATTCATGAGTAGGTTCTTTTGTTTTTTGAATGTTGTGTTCCGACTCAAATGAGATCCGAAAATTTACGGGGTAAAGGCTGTCAAGGCTAAGAAGCTGCGAATTCAAAAGGAATTTAGATATTTAATTAACAAATAAAATAATTCACACAACGTTCTGAAGCTGCTTGATGGGTAATAAAATCCTGAAATGAATAACCTAATCATACCCGGCAAGTTGAATTGGGTGAAGTTTAAAAAAATTCGTCTTTAAACATTTCATCTGAATAGACCAAACTTTGAATTGCGTTTATCGTGCCGTTCTTCGTATACGGGCAAGGCAACGCTGTTATTCTTGGATCTTGACCCATCCCCGAACTACATTCATTGACGGGTGTGGTAAACACTTTTTTCTAGACTATGATCAAAAGGGGGACGATTTGAACTTCGGAGATGGCATTGCCTTCAAGAACGACATACCACAAAAGCAGTAAGAAAAGCTTCCGACATGAAAATTTCTCTTTCATCCCATGACGTCAAATGAAAAAAAAAAGTACTTCCAGTTTCAAAGTATAAGCACCTCGTATCGTGCGTGACCATCGCCAAGGCAGCCTCGGGAAATTTGAAATAAATAGCATAGTCGATTGCACTAAGATCGCTAAAATTGTACAGAAGTTTGCAGTTCATTGATAGTAGGAGTGATATCGAGTTTGGTTTGTTTTCCATCGTTGCGAGGTGGAGAACAGTATTCTGAAACCAGATCAAGACGCCAAACAGCCAGTGTTAGTTTGCGAGGTTTTAATCCTAGAATCGATCATTCCTAGATGTTTTTGAAATTAATTTTACTTCGATAGTTGAGTCTTATAAGGTTTATTAAAATGTCGATCTCCGATTACATTGGCTAAAATTACTGTGACTGTACACAAATAAAATTTCTGATCTTACTGTGTGAAAAGGGCTACACCACCCACCATACTAAAAAATTATGTGTACTATTTATGATACTGTAAATTCAAATATATAGTGTTAAATTGTATTATTATGGGTTAGAACATAATTCTATATGATATACAAACTGGAAATAAATATTTATTACACGAAAATTTCAAAATATATGATCATAAGCACTTGGCGCACGTCATGTGCACACAGATGGAGCGATATCCATTCGTAATGATTCTAATTTTGGACCAGATATAAGTCAGTGGCAGGTTCCAGGGGTATGGATCATCTTCTATATTCTATGTATTCAAATGGTTTTGTAAATTGATAATAAAAGATATATTACCCCTATAATTAAACGCATATTAGGGTTATATTATGCGAAGAAGTGTACGTGTTACTTATGTATTCTAGAAAAAGGCAAGGTCAAAATAACGATGCAGCAAGTTAATATTGCCAATTTGAGCTGGATCAGGAAAAGTTGGAATAGTTTGCAGACAGTGACATCATCGTTGATCGCGGATACTGCGATGTAATTCAATACCTCGAGGAAATTGGGTTTGAACCCAGAATGACAAATCTTTTTGGGCAGGGAAAAAGGCAATTTTCCTTAGAGGATGAAAACGAATCTCGACTAGTGACAAGGACCCGGTGAATTGAGGAGGCCCGAAAGTCCATATTCAACTTTTTGGATATCACCAAGGCGAATTTTAAAAAAAAAAAAGCCGGTGCAATTAATTGTAAACCAGTATAACGAGAGAATCTTCATGGAAAATTGACATGAGAACTTCTGTTGAAAGCACAAGAGGTAAATGTTGTACAAGCTCGAGTGGACTGTGTACACTCTGGATCTGGATACCAAGAGATGGTGCTTTTGAATTTAAAAGTGAACCTGCCTCAATCTTTAAAAAAGAAAGTATTTTCCACACTTAAGTTTTGCAGAGATGAAAAAAGTAACTGTAGGTAATCAAGAGATAAATCAAGGCCAAACTTCAGAGGGATGGCAATGAAAAATTGCAGGTCGAGTGTGACATCAATGAGGCCGGGCTTTTTCAAACGCAAGTTTTCACTGCGGAGTTCCAAAACGCCACAAGACATCAAACATTCATTGCGTAAGTGGGCATTGTTAGAAAAATGAGAAAGATAGGTGTGTGATTGGTTTTCGAGAGCAATACGAAAGTTATAGGGAAGAGGGTAAAATAGTGACAATGTAAACTTTTTATAATTTCGACGAGGTTTAAACGACGAGGTTTAAACGACGAGGCTCCATCTACACCCGTCACCAATTCTACAAGCTCAACCTTCAATAAATATTATGACACGGCAAGCAATAGACTTTCGAATTTTGTTACAACTTCTCTTCCTTTAGTGTTCTTTCTTTTCCTCAAGCGACGATTTTTCCTTCGCCTTAAAAGTGGCGCGCCTGACAACAAGAGAAGCAGAGACTATTCGTAACGCGCAACACTGGGGTAAGGCTAGAAGACCAGGCAACATCCTACACCCTGGAATGCCTACTGATATTTCAGGTGATTTGTGACCAGGGTGTCTTCATAATATGACTTTCTCATGGTTTGGTGCTCTAGAAAAATATTTAGAACCCACCAAAAAATTAAACTCTAAAACAAAGTACACAATGAGATGTATTGTACCCACCCCGTCCTTGTCTACTTGATCCAGCAAGTGCGAATGGACTGAGTGCAGAAGCTCCATAGTCTGAGTGTAGCCGCTCATAGCGGCCAAATGCAGCGGGTTCCGGCCGTTGTGATCGCGGTGAAGCAATGCACCTTTGTTCAGCAATAACTGAACCACCCGCGTATGCCCTGTAATAGCATCGTATAGTAATTTCCACATCGCCAAAACAAGCCTAAGTTCTGAGTAACGACGCACAGAGGCGACTCTTGTAAGTTAACACATACGTATTCATACATAGTAAACACATTTAAATGGTTCAATTTCCCCGTTCGGACAATTATTTAATACTTCATGTTTATTTTATTGTTAATTATTTTTTCTTTTTCTTTTTTTTTTAAATCTTACAGGACCGCTCCCGGTATTAAGTCGAGGACTAGAGTCTTGGGACTTTTTCTTGTTCTTACTATTAAAGTTTTCAAGAATAAAAACCTGAGAAATTGAGAATAGAATTAAAGAAATAATAGAACAAGGAAAGAAAAAGGACTATTCAATGTAAGGGAAATTCCTGACAACACTGCAGGTGCTTAGAATGACTGGCTTCTGGTTTTGAGAGG